TGCACCATCTCCATCAGCTCCGAGACCTGCGCCTGCCACTCGACTCCTGTGGCCTTGTTGTTGAAGCCACAGAAACGATTCCCGCACTGTTGGATCAGCTCCCGCAGATTGCGGTTCTTGGAATTTTGGACGTACTCCTGCAGGGATTCCCCTCTCAAATCCTCCTTGAAGGTGAAGAGGACGATCGTGTGCCTGGCCGACTCGGCCTCAAAGATTTCCCGGACCCGCTTTGCAGCTGTCACATCTTCGGCAGTGAAGCGTCCCACCTGGGCCACAAAGATCAGGGCGTGGGGGCCAGGCCGGGAGAGTTCGACGCAAGCCGTGATCTCATTTTGCACAGTCTCGTTGTGGTTTTCAGAATCGAAAATGTTGGGTGTGTCGACCACGGAGACCTTCTTGTCTTGCCATCTTTCTTGACCCCTTTCGCACTTCAGGGTGGTGGTGTTTGGCTGCAGGATGGACTTGAACACCGGCCGGCCGAGGATGGTGTTGCCCGTGGCGCTCTTCCCGCCTCCGGACTTTCCCACCAGGATCAGCCGGAGTTCAGCATCCTCCCCTGCAAATTTGGAAGACGACGTTACACAAAGGAATCGAGACATTTCACAGGTGCCCAGGAAGAAACGTGTGGCCGTGATCCAACATGTCGGGGTGTCATTGAGCAGGCTGGAAATGGGGACAATTTTGGCAAAGAGTCGCCCCTGCCCTGACGTGCTTCAGGGATGGTTTTTTTTGTGTGTGTGTGAATCTCCCAGAGTTGCTAAAATGGGATACTCTGCCGTGTAGATTCCCACAAAGTGGTGTACCCCGCTTTAGCAAAACTCCACTGATAAAACAATGCTCCAAGTCAGGAAATTTCCCTCTGGTCCCATCAGCCCTTTGAGCCCCACATAAGCCCCCCCACACATGATGTCCAAATATGGCAGCTGTGTCCAGCCCCCAGCGGGCAAGCTTTAATCCGAGCGAGCGGAGTGACCCGGAAGAGACTCAGGGCTGCTGGCAGAGAGCTGCGGGAGGACGCCTGACCCACTGGGCTGGGGGGCAGGATGCAGAGGCAGGCTGGACCAAGCAGGACTGACCCCCCTGCCTCCCCCACCCCCCAAGCTTGCAAGCCGGCTTCCAACTTGGTTTGTTTCAGACAGAGTGCCATTAAACCTGCCGGGAAGACGATCCGTGCGGGCCTGAGGAATTTCCGACTGCCAGGGGTGGATCCGAGGGGTTTGCTGAAATGGGTCTTGAGGGCCATCCCCCACCCACATGAGTGCCCCACGGCAGCCCCGTCCTCCTGCCTGCCTGTCCTTCCCAGTCTTCCTTCTGCGGCTATCCTGCGTTCCCCCCCTCATCACCAGACCCCGTCCGACGTGGGACTCCAAGAGCTGAAAGACGAGCAGGGACTGTGGAAGGAGGCCCATCCGTGGGCAACAGGGAGGGAGGCAGGCAGGCATGCTCAGGAATGGGGAGGGGGGTCTCCACAGAAGGGCCAAGGCACCCCTCCTCTGAGCTGGCCAGCGAGGCTCTGGCTGTTTGCTATGGGAAGAGACCCATCCAGCGCAGCTCTTCCTCTGAACTGGCATCAGCTCGGCCTCCACGTGACTGCCGTGCTGCCCCTTCCCCAAGGCGTGGCCTCCTCACTTACCCAGGCTGTTCTCTTCCTCCATAGGTCCCTGGAAGAGTGGAAAGGAAACACGGGTCAGGCGTGGCCCCGGCGTGTCCAGTGGGGCAGAGAGAGCCAGCTGCCCCCCGCTCTCCAGACCCAGAAACCGCAGCCTGGTCTCCCACCCCCATTCCAAGGCTGCTCTGGAGCATCCCCCCCCCCAGCTAAGGGAGGGGGTCTGAGAAGGGAAGGGAAGAAAAGAGGGGCAGGGAGGGAGGGGGAGAGGGAAGGGATGGGGGGCGGAAAGCAGGTGGAGGAGAGAAAGGGGAAGGAGAGCTGGGGGAGACCTCATTTATTTTTTTTGGGGGGGGGGTTGCATGCTTTAACACCGGAGCCTTCTTTTTACAAGTAGGGGACAGGACCACGATGGAGGGGGGGTGTCTAGATGGCTGTCCAGCCCCCCCCAAGGGGTCTCCCCTTTCCGGAAGCCTCCACACACCCCCCCTTTCCTTTGAGGACCCCCCTCTCAGACCTACCGGGCGGGTCCTCCGATAGCTCATTCCTGGCTGTGGATGCTCGCGGAGTTGGGATTCCCTCGGGCCCCCCCGGACTGTGGGGAAGGAGAGAGAAGATGGGGGGGCGGAGAACCCCTTTTTTTGAGCGGGCAGCTGTGGCCCACGGGCCCTTTTTGGGCGGGGAGGGGGGGAGGAAACGGGGGTGCTCCCCTCCTGCCTTGCCCAGCCATGCCTCCGGGGTCGCCTTGCCTTGAAGAGGTGCCCACCCCTCCCTTTGGTCCGCCTGAGACCCTCCCCCCAGGGGGACCCGTGTGGGGAGCAGGGGGGCGGCCGCGCCCCTCCCTCCGCTTTCCAGAGACCCGGAGCCCCCCAGCCCGGAAATGGGGGGGCAGTTCCACCTAACCCCCTCCCCTCCCACTCCCCTCCCACGCAAGCCAGCGCGAAAGTCCTGGAGGAGGAAAGTCGGAGTGGGGGGGGTCGCCAGTCCTGGCCGGGTCTCCTTTGCTCGGACGGACCCCCCCCGATTTGGTGGGGAGGGGGGGAGTGCGCCTCCTCCCCCCCTTGCGCTCCTCCGCCCGGGAAGATCAGGAGGGGAGGGGTCCTGGGGGGGGGGGCGGCGGGCAGGGCAGGCAAAGGGGAGGGGGCGGAGGTGGGGGGGTGGGCTATCCCGCCCACCAACTCCGGCTCAGTGCTTCCCCCCTGGGCGGACAGCCCCCTCCCCACCTGCGCTTCTTCGGAAGGAGCCCCTGAGTC